CGTCCGTAGATTACTCAAAGTTGCTTCGTATAAGACAAGCTGCTCTTGATTTTCTTAAAAGTGTTTTAAGAGTATTGTCTCATATAATGTTGAGTATTTTCCTTTTTGGATAACAAAGTGAAACCTGGCTTGAGCAAATTTCACTCTATGGTGATCTTTGACACCATTTTCTGCGTAACCATTTTCTTAAACATGAAGGAAGCTATTTGATCTTCCTAAATTTCCACACTTTATGTGCACGACAGCCTCCTCAGCTGAACTCCTCACAGTCTGAACCACATGTCCATGAACCCCTTTGATGACTTCCGTTGCAGGAGGTGCTTGTGATTCTGTAGGTAGACAAATGGTGTTTGTGCAAGTTCCTGTCTACAGTTTCCTCCTCTCAGGCACACAAACTGCTACTTTAGCAGAAATATCAAGCCAAAGGACTCAGTGTACTAAGGTATTTTATATTAATCAGTAAGAGCCAAGGGCCACCTCGCCAGGCCTGCAAGCAGCACAGTGCTTCTATCATGGTTGACAACATCGTTTTAAAATCTCTCGGGTTAGTTTTGATCATCACAGCTCACATGGTATTCAACGGTAAGCTGTCTTTTTTTAGTGGTTGATGGTTTATGCTTTTGTGGGTTTTCACCTGCTAGAGGTTCATTTTTACTGGTTTCTTTGACCTGTTTTTTGGTGTTTCTTCTTCGTTCTGATGTAAAAGTTATTGCCTGCTCTCACAACACATGTTATTATGCTGCTAATGATGCTCCAGTTTCCACACCATCATGGTTTGTGCCATTATTTAATTCGCTGGTAACTGTGTTTCTGAGGCAATGTGTTGTCAGAGTGGTGTCTTTTATTGTTTTGGCACTGCACATTGAGAACATTAAAATCACATTGTCCTCATAAATCTGTTGAATGCTTGTGTTTGAGATTAAATAAGGAGCATGACTTTGAAATGTCGTGAAATTTGATATCGTGATATTGTATGTGAAATAAGGTAATACACATTTTTAAAAAGTCCACAGGCATTTAAATTATGTTCTTGAATCATTTCTTTGATATGTAAAACTAATTCTGGCTCATAATGTGTATGCTAGAGTGACAGGAAAGGATACATGGTTTTTGTGGTGTAATATGCAGGAAATATTCTTAATGTTTTACCAGAGTCTACGTTTTGCAGACATTTAAACAAATAACACAGTTCTTACAGCACATATTGACGAGCATCACATACAGTGTGTCCTCAAAAAAAACATGCTATGACACAAATTAAAGTTCTTTAGTTGGACAATAACTTGTGAGCAGATGTAAAGTTTGTAATGTCTTAACATTGTGCTTCCTTTAGGCTAATTTGACCCAAAAAAGGTAGCTACATACCTAAACAGACAGATGCTACACTTTAGCTTTGGATTCTCAACATAATGCTTTCTGTCACCTTTCTTGTCCATCCATTAACTAGTTTGTTTAAGAAAATAAACTTAAATTTGATACATATTTCATAGAAATAAAATGCATCTTTGTTTAGCTATAACGTTACAGTATGGTATATCCGGGCTACTATAAATATTCACACTGAAATACATAAGGTACAATGAATTATTTCCATTTGTTATATTCATTATATTTAATAAATTTGATTTGGGATTTAACAGTAGTTTAATCACACCAAATCCCATGAATTCTACTGAAGTTAAGAGCTGAGATGAGACAAGATGCTAAAGCTAACGTTCGTCACGTTACCTTTAGCATAAGTTTAGCTAGGCTTTTATCGGGAGCGTGTCAACGTTCCCAGGGTCCTGTGTTCCCCATATCCTCTTAATATGACACATTAAGGGTTGTACATTCTCAGCTACGTTTTTCCCCGGGTCAAATGTTCAAGTTTCCCTGGGTCCCACCTACAGCTTGTATCTGACTGATGTTCCACTCCTTGAAACCTACACGTTCAGATTTGCAGGCAAGATGGTTCTTTTGACTTCAGGCATTGAATTCTCCAGTGTCTGAAATGAATTTAACTGCATTAAAAACATACATCTCCTACTGTGCTTTTCCAATTTGGACTGTGATAGCCCTTACAAAGCTATAATGATGTTAGTTCATATCAAGAGATACATAGAGGTATTTGTAAATCTTTGGAATCACCAGGAAGACAGATGTAAACTGCGTGTTATGTGTTATATTTAGGGAATATTAAGCTTGGGAACATAGGACCTGCATGAACTCCTTTTATCCTCCATTATTTTTCCCATTTGTGGGATAACAGACTGAATTACCAAAATTTTGTTCACAAGGGTGTTGGAGTGGGCGGAAAAGTGGGATTGATTACATAGCCTGGAATAAAAAGATTGGTTTTATTTGCATTTTTTTCTGAGTACTTAATCCCATAACTAAATAAAAAATTGGCATCATAAATTGGTAATGAGAGCGGACTTTGTCTAAAAATAGTGGAAACTCTCTGAGGCCCCTCCCATGCTTAAAGGCGCAAAATGGTTTAGTCTGCTTCTCTGCAAGGTTTCATCTCCAAACGCAGCTAAATCTAAGTGAGTGACTGCTCATGTTGCTGAGGCACGAATGTACACTGTCATGCCTATGCCCAAGAAAGGAGAATCAGGGTTGCAAAAAAAAAAAAAAAGGGAAGTAAAGAAAGCGAGACTGGCTTGAGATGGGAAGGGCGGGGGCCCCAAAGAGACCGCTTACTGTAAGCATAGAGCCCAGAATTTGATGCTACGCCCCTGGTTGTTCATGAATAATTTAGTTTTGGTTTGTGGCTATCTAGCTAGCTTCACTTGAAATAACATTTATCTGTGGCACGTAGTGCAGTAACTGTGGGGTTATAGGCTACAGATTAATAAACCAGAGAACAGTTTTTAGCCTTGTTTTTATACTTAGTGCATTTTGCCTTTACAGGTCAGAATACTCATTGCAATCTCTTACCCATATGCGTCCTATGTTTTGTCTCCATACAGGCCGAGCAGACACTGGGCTCATGGGCAACAACATCACCCTTCAATTCAAATTTAACGTCACTGTCACAAAAGACAATCATCTTGCATGTTATAAAGAACCCCAAACAAAGGTTGCTGAGTATTCAAAACAAAGAAGTATTCCAGAAGATGGTGATATTATCATCTACCCTAAAAATACTTCTGTGTTTTGCCACATTACAAATCTCAAACTAAATCACAGTGGAATTTACTGGGCCAGTTTATTGGACTCAGGACTCGCCCGAGAGAGTCTTCGGGTGCAGCTGATTGTTCAAGAGAAGGAGCACATAAGCAACACAGGTAAGATCAGACTCTACGATAAGGATAGTGACACCAGCATAGATCATTATCATGTAGTCTTTATTATTGTCGGTAGATTTATGCAACATAAAAATTAAATGTTAGTATACACATAGCTGATTTACTTAGGTGATTTTGGACCTTTTCTTAGATGAACAGCCACCTTCACCTCCTATGTACTGTAAACAAAGTGGCTAGGCCCTTTACAAGAGTACATTGTTTGTTGCATTGTTTGTCTACCACTCCTATATTACCAGACCCCTCCCAATATCTTTTTAAGGATAAGGCTGGCAGTGTTCCATATTTTGTTATTATCAAGAAAACCAACAAAGAGACCAAAACCATTAATGAATTGGTCCCATTAACAAGTATTTTCCACATAACAAAAACTGATATATAGCAGCTTAAGTATTCCTCTGTTCCATAGAGCTCCATCGTTATTAAAAAACACTATTGTATAGCTTATTATGGAAAACTGAAAAACTAATCAGACAAATTAAATACTTAACAATGGTATTCTGTCATATTGATGCACATTGCACATAAAACTAGCCTATATTTCCATAGAGCAGTCCTGCTCATTTATTTGTAATATCGAACACAAATATCTAAAACAACCAGAGACAATTAAATCATAGATGTCATAAACTGTAAGCCTATGGCAAGACTTCCCATGTTAAAAAACATTTATATGATGTCATCAGCATATAGCCCAACCAACTGCATACAACTTCCTGCTGCTGTAAACACTTTGTGACCTACATGTGTATTAATCCACAGCTTTAGGCCTTAATAGTGTCCAAACATCCTGTGTGAGCAACATTTGCTGGTAAGACTGAGAGTCTGCAGCCATGTTAGTGGTTCTGTGAGACTGTACTGAGGCACAAATGCTAAAGTCTGCCCAAAGTTACTGTTAACCATGTTCACATTATTGTTATGGCTGAGTGAATGTGCTTAGTTCTGCAGGTATTTGGTCATAAACCAAAGGAAAATGTAAATATTGACCTGGTGATGGCTCTAGATGAGAAGTCAGGGGATCAATAAAGTTATTACAGTTCATCCTAAGGGGGGATATAAATGTCTGAGCATAATATCATGGCAATACATCCATCAGTTGTTGAGATATTTAAGTGTGGACCAAAGAGGTACTCTGAGATCAGTATAACCATAGAGCCACACAGCTAGCATGGTGAAAACTAGGTTACTCTATATCAAGCTGATTTATGAAGTTACTGAGCTTTTTTCACCATATATATTTGTGACTTTTTAAAAAGGTTTACATCTTCAGTGGGAAGAAATCAGCCTCCAAAGAGATGGTTGGACATTAAAGAATTAGTGACAGACTATGTATTGTTTGTTTTTGTCTTACCATGGCAGCTGTTGACAGTAAGAAAAATAATAATGGTTTAGAGCTGCTATACCTTCTGTTCGGCTCACATCAGAGGTGCTATCTGACATGTCACAGTGTATTAGTGTCTGTGCTGGTTAGAGGCTCATCTTGTATTTAATAAAAAAAAAGTCTAATTGTACAGTAAAATATGGTCAAACAATGTTATTTTATTTGTGATTTACAGTAATTCAGTGTCTTCTGAACAAATATATGATTAAATAACCATGTAGTTTAGATATGTTGATGAGAGGAAATCATCTTCTGCAGAGATATGAGTGTATATTTTCAAAAATTCCTTTTAACTCCTACAGTGTCTCCAAAGCCGAATGACATCACAACAAATAAAGACCGTGGAAGTCCCAGTTTCTTTTCCTCTCACATCGTCACTGTCCTTGTGGTTTCACCTGTGGTGCTGATGGCTGCAGTACTTCCCTGGTTGATCTGGTGTCTCTTGAGAACCAAAGGTAGGGGAAATGAAAAATAGTCTTTCTTTGCTTTACTTGTCTGAACTGATAATTCAGGGTGCTGAGGGGTATTGTGTTAGCTGAATTATTAAAATCTAAAATAAAATGTTTATGTTTGACTTAATACACCAGGAAACTTTAATCAAATCTTGTTTAAGTTTTCATTTAAACGTGGAAACAGTCGTCTTTAAATTACCTGTTCACAGCTACAGTCAGTGGTGTTTTCTGTATTTTTCAAGCAAGGTAAGAAATAATTGTTATCCTGTGGAAAAAAAAGTGCAATTGTGTGGTTAGATGCTCAAAAATGCAAACCAGATTGCACTTTCAGTTCCTTTTGATAGATGATGATTCACAGCTTTTGAAAAGAAATCCTCCCTCGGTGCATGCAAATGTGAGCGTATCTACTATCACAAAGCGATGGGTGGAAAAAATATCAGTTGCATTACTTGTTCACTATTACCAGACCGCTTTCACTTCAGAGACAAACCCCTCTGGCCTACTTTGAGTAGGAACATTGCCTCTTTGAAATATTTTGACAGCCTCTGCAACCTCAGAAACCGCACCTGATGATTTCCCGTACGTGTGTACAAATGCAGGGTTTTGCTGACGGTGCGCTCTTGTATCATGTCATGCTAACCTGGTCCAACCGTTGTCCACAGATAGGGCTATAAGTGTTCAAATGTCACAACTTGGCAAAGTCACAGATGGTGGAGACAATCTGTGCTCCTCAGCACCTTTTTTTTTTTTTTGCACCACCAGATCATAAAGGATTTTTTTTTTTTTTTAAAAAAAAGCTTATACCATTAGTGTTGATGTGTATAAATGCTAAAAGTAAACGGCAGAGTTAACAGATTTTACCTTAATATAACATATTTTGACCAATATTTGTTAAAAGAAAATAAAAACAGACTTAGTTTAGCCTAATAAACCTCTGTATAATTTGACACAATATGTTTGCTGTTTATCATTAAGCATTTGCACTGCTATTGTTGTTTAAACTGATTAAACATTTACTGGTATTGGCATTTCCTGAGTTAGACCAGAAGATCAATCAACTCCCATTTCTGTGCATTATACTTGAAGCAGAGTCCTGCACAGGTACTGATACTGATACTATTGAATGTATAATTAAAAGAGATCCTATAATTATAAGCAAGTGGTATTGAAAAAGTATCAAAGTATCAGCACTTTTGACAATCTTAGATTAGTGGTAAATTCAAATCCATGTGTTGTGGTGATTAAGTTGATTATTTGCCTGAGTGACTCAAAATTTTACCTGATTTGCTTCTCACGCAGACACTCAACAGCGACAACCAGAACCAAGCCCTAACCCCACAGTACAAGTAAGAACACGCTCATCTTTTCCTGTCTGTTACGATGTAAACATCAAAGTAAATATTAAAATCATCTACAGAAATTATTCAGCTTGACTCTGACTGTCTTTGCAGGAAACAATTGAGGCAACCAACACTATCCCTGCACCCCCTCTGGTCTACAGCGTCCTGGACTTCCCCAAAAGACCTTCGGCAGTTTTGGAGATTAATCCGAGTGATACAGAATACGCTGCTGTCAGTTATCTTCCCGAAAATCAGCAAAGGTGACGCACAGCTGAATGTAAACCAGCTGTCTTTCTTGGTCTGGGCAAGGGTACGCAAGATGACTTATATCTAAAACTATATGTCTAGTAAGTATGATAAATGCTTTCTGTAACACAGTGATGAATCCTGACAGCCTGTAGGCTTCTTGCAATAATTTCAAGCAAAAGAGTTTAGAGGGGAAGAGTCATTGTTCTGCTTGGGTCGGAAGTACGTAGGTGTCACTTTGTTTCTGGGGTCGTGACAGTTGCTGTGACAAACCACAGGCCGGCGCACATAATGACACACTTTTGTTTTTTCTTTGCTTTTATTTGTTCAAGGGTCATCTGGCCTCTAAACCCTAAAAGGGAAAGTCTGGTGAGATTTTTTTGCTGTCGTTAAAAAATGCCATACAAAGACCAAAACTAACAATGCGTTGATCCTACTAAAACGTATGTCCTGTGTAGTCAGTCACGATTTATGTTACTCCTCTGTGCCACAGACTCAATTGGTATCCAGAAACTACACATTAATGCACTGGGTGACAGGTACTGTTGTTAAGATGAACATGGGCACTGTAGTTTATTTTGGGTGCCACAAACATTGTCCTGCTGCTGTAAATAATCACTGGAGCACCAAATGTGTATTAATACGCAACTGAAAATAGTCCCACAAAAAAACACACTGTATAATCCTACTTGAGTAATATTTCTTAAAAGCTACAGTGCCCAGCTTCTTTAATGAATACTGGGCGTGTTTGTAATATATATATAACAATTAAACAATATATTTTGAGCTGTTTTTTTTTTACATATATTTTTGTCTTCAGTAAGATCAAATGGGCTCACACCTGATTGCCACACACAGGGTGGGAAAGTACTGAGAGTCACGTAGGTGTAGGGGACATGTCCCCCTTGATATTTAGCTCATGTGCAATCAACACATTCTCATTCATATCAACGTTTCGTCATGGACTTTCCATGTCGACATACAACGTGCAAGGTACTTTAGATATGTTTGTTGTTGACCTTCTGGGTCGCTGTGTCAGCTTCAGTCCTGTTAAGTGCATTGGGTGATTTAAAAACACACAGGATGTGTAAAATTTGCATATAGTCTCTTTTTGAATAAACATACTACATTGTTAAAACACTGCGAATTGATGTTTTTTAAAGCCGCGTATCATGCTGGCGTGAAAGGATGGCTTTTTCGTTGGTGTCTGATGCAGGAAGTCACTGCCCAAGTGTTATAATTCAGTAGCTGGTGCATTGTCCCCCCAAATAAATACATAAAGGTGGCAGAGGACTGTTATTGTGATCAAATTGAAGACATTTACACTTTGAATTAAAACAGAAAAAACACAAATTGGTACATAAAAATTCACCAGAATGCAGAGAATTAAATGTCTGATTCACAAATTTTTCTGGCACAGGACCCCCAAGCCCAAACCTGGGTGAACACGTTGATGTTTTTGGTCTTTTCTTGGATTTCTTGATAACAAAAATATAGAAAAAAGCTAGGCTTATCATTTAAGCCACAGTTAAGCTAAAGTACATGTTGCTAGCACTGTCTCAAATATATAAAAACATTTCCGAGGGTGTTGACAGATGACAGATGACAGATGACTGACAAGATATTAAAAGCAATCAGAAACTGTTTTTTTTTCCAAGCTCACTTTCCAAGTAAAATTCTGTCTGTTTTTGCTTCAACTTTTCCTCTCCAGATTAAATCTGCACTTCAGCACTGTAGTGACATCTACAACTTGTTTATTAATATTCTTATCTTCAGCGAGGAGGTGTGATATCCTTAAAAGCTCCCTCTGGGTTTCAGGTTGAGTCACTTTATCTTTTCTGTCAATGATTTGTTTTTCATCATTGTGTTTATCACAGTTTTGACACAGTGTTTCCACTGTTAAACTAAACAAAACTAAGAACAATGAGTGAAATGAAACAGTCTTAGGAAATGGTGACATTTTATTTGAAGTTTAGACGTCTCAGCTCAACAGTACTGTATATTGACAGGTCGCATGGGTGATTTTCCATTTACTGTATGGTGAGACAGCTTGACACTGTCACACCAGTTTAACACATACAATCTATCTGACACTATCTCACTGCCATTTTCCACTGCATGGTCTCTGAAGTTCTCTTTTGGCAGGTGCTTGTTGATTTGTGAGACAAAGATTTGATTTATGTTCTCAGTGCCACGTACTGGTGTCATTAATGTGTGATATCCATATATTAACTCAACCGACTCATCTGTTCACCAGTGGCAGAGAAGCAGGTTCTTTATTTGTCACGGATGTTGGTTGTTATGTAGGAAGGAAAATAATCAGCCAGCCCGGTAAATGATGACATGTTTTTTAAAAAGGTGGCCACAGGGCATGCAGCCAAACACAGACTAACTTTCTTTTCTGCTCTGAAAAACTTCTTGATGAAATAGCAAAAGTGCATTTTGAAATCTACTAAGTTTCTTGTCCTGTCTGGTGTTATTATTTCACATACTACTCAACTGTTTTTTCTTGAAATGCAGAAGTGAATGTCAAAATACAGTAATAAACTTTATTTTTGTGTGCAAAAAATGTCCTTAGTTCACTAGTGTTGAATCTATGAGTTTCATGTAAGTAACAGAAAACACATTTTGTTTTGGTGGTATATTCAATGCATGTTTAAAATGTGATTTAAAAAAAACACATTGTGCATGCACCTCTTTGTGTTTTGGTTGTAAAATAAAAATGTTTTACTGCATGCTCAGCTTGTTGAATTGTTGGTGTCCTGAATAAATGTTTCACAATAATGATTCCCCCGTGTCTTTGTCTGCATGTGCACCTGGGTGTCAAAGGCCAAGTTAGGTTGCTCTCCAGGCAGACATAATCACACTGGTTGAGTTAAACCTCAAGCAGGTAGAGCTGAAAGGCTAACTTCCAGCATGGTCTCACAGATATACTTAAAATGGACATGATGTCTAACAGTGAATTACGTGGTGGTGGGCACGAAATGCGCTAAAATTAAGGGTGTTTCAGACCTAGAGTTGTCATGCTTTGGTCCGAATCAGGGACTAATTTAGTTACAAAGCTGCTGTTCTCATGGCAGCATTTACAAGCGGACCAGAAAAAATGCCTTGTACAAAAACGCTGCTCTTGATTGGTCAGAATTTTCATGCAGGAAAAATCCAGGAAGTAAACAACACGTTGAAGAAGAGTACACTTGCAAGATAAATGTGACACTTTCTAATGTCACAATGGAAGGACAACTACGCAGGTTGATTTTAGCACTGGTCATCATGTATTATATTGCTGTCATTGTTCATTTTAGTCAAACCATACAGTTTGAAACAATGTTTTGATGCATTGGATGTGCTGAATGTGCATATTAAGATAGGACAGGAGGAGGCGCACGTTAATAATCCTCCAGGACTGTAACATGCTCATGTTTAACCCAAACACTGTGTAATGCGACTGCAGTTGGTTCGGATCGAGGTCAGAACACGTTCTCACCACAAACGAACTGCACCAAAGTTCATTTGTAATCGGACCGAGACCACCTCTTCAAGAAGGTCTTGGGGTCCGTCCCAATACTCACACTTCCCCTCAAAATTGGCCCTAGCCCTTCTTTTTGTGCGTTCCCGCAAAAGGCCATGGTGTCCCAAACTTTAGGGATGCGCTTTTCCGCCCTTAAAATCCCCACTTAATTTGAAGGGCCGTGTGATGCACACTTACAAACCCATCTCAACTGAGGGGAAGATTGAATTTCCCAGGATGCATTGCGAAACTATCCAGCCAGGCGAGTTTTCCAGGATGATGGCAGCCTCCATGAGAAAGCCATCGCACACTTGTAGTAATATTTTCGCAAATAAACATGCAAAAATTCCAAAATATGTCAGAATGTGTTATGTTTCTGCGTATGCATTGTAATCTGTAAGAGTTGAGTTGAACACTTGAAAATCGCTAATTCACGATGTAGCCGACATGAATATCTACAGACTTCTTCGTGAAGCATTTAATGCTGAAGCCTACGTCGACGATAAGCGTGACATAGGTGAACACGTCTGTTACGCTAATTTGCATGAAGTGGTGTCCCAATTCGTAGGTAAAATTCCCTACCCCTCAACACTACCCTTTCGTCTTTGAGGGGAATCTATCCGGCAAGTGCACTTGAAACCAGGGGTAAGGTTAAGGGAAGAGAATTGGGATTGGACCTTGGTTTGCTTGTTTTGGCGCGCACTCGAGTGTGATTGCTGTGTTCACACCTGCCCAAACGAACCACACTTCGGGGGAAAACGAACTTGAGTTTAATTGAACCAAACAAAACAGGGCAGGTGTGAAAGCATCTCAAGTGCTGGCAACATGAAAAACAATTCTAATGCAAAGTCCCTGCGGATTTATTTTGTCATGGTAGACACATGAATTCGGTATGCAGAGCAAGACCTTACGCAACTTCACAAAGTACTTCACATAGGTACTTAACCAAACTTTGCAAAATATGTAGTTTAAGTCACTTTATTTTATTTTCCTAACCTTAACCAAGTATTTTTTTCTATTCTCTAACCCTAACCAAGTGTTTTCCTCACCTAAACCTAACCAGACTACAACCGTTTCACAGCAAAACTGTGCCAGCTTCTAACAGACATTACACTGGCATTGTTTTCATGTTGCCAGTACATAATTTTAACACATTTTGTGACCACCACCATGTGATGTGTTGTTACGACGTCATTTCCATGTCTTATTTCTGTGCGATTGTGTTACAACTTGGGTATTTTTCACCCTGGACCCAGATTATCATTCCAAGTGTCTGACAGCATTACGAGAAGAATCCCTACACAGTTAAAGAGTAAGGTCCTTTTTATGAAATCGCCAAATCTTCACACTCCATTTAAATAAACAGTAATTTAAGCGTGTATAGAGCCAGCATATTTTCACATCATAAAGTGTGTTTTACAGTAATTAAGTCTGGTGG